CGATTGATGCGTTATAATCCCAATTGAGGAGTTTGCGGTGTCATTTTGTTGACGATTGATGCGTTACAATCCCAATTGAGTAGTTTGCGGTGTCATTTTGTTGACGATTGATGCGTTATAATCCCAATTGAGTAGTTTGCGGTGTCATTTTGTTGACGATTGATGCGTTATAATCCCAGTTGAGGAGTTTGCGGTGTCATTTTGTTGACGATTGATGCGTTGTAATCCCAGTTGAGGAGTTTGCGGTGTCATTTTTGAATGTGGTAAAAATTTTGACCCTGACGCCGGCACACGCAGCGTGGGCCCGCTCTTGCGAATGACGTCACGGGCGTCTTTCACGTCCGCTGCGAGTGAAGCAGACGGCCGCGTTGCGTGATCAAGGCTATTGCACACACCGCAGTGTTAACCAGGGGCGGCCGCTGGAAACCGAACCGCGAACCTCTGCAACGAGCGGCGAACGCTGCGCTACCGCCTGGCCGTGTGACTGTCCGAATCAAAGGGCCATGTTTTGTGCCTATGTCATGCAATAACAACAATCGCATTGGTCCTCACGGTCTTTACCATTGAAATGCACGCGTTTTTGTCTGAACATGGGGGTTTTTCCTCCCCATCATCAGTGGTTAAACTTTGTGTTGCTCCTGGTTGAGATATCAACTGGCTCTGCGTGCGTGTTTTGAGAACGCGAGTATTGTTTGTAAACACACAGGTAATGGAATTGCCATTAATGCGACTTCTCATGGTCTGAAGATGAGCCCTGATTAATGGCATCATACAGTGTGTACATCTCTTTTGTCAATCTGCTGGATGATCATTAAAGGCTGCAATCTTTATTCTTGGCAAGTTGACGGTGCTTATGGGGATAGGATATAGTTTAAGTTTCCAGTAGAGATAAACATAGCATGTCGCTATTACAACCAATCGTTTGCTTGAAACAATAAAAATTCTCACGACGTTTCGACCATAACACAAACGGTCGTGACTTTACCGAAAGAGCTAAGAATATGAATTACTGCAGTCACGAAAGCTTTAAATCAAAATTTAATCGTTTGCTTGTTATGTATTATCACTGTCATTTGCAAGCAGGTTTTCTTATTACATCTGTAGTGACGACTTCGAAGCACCTGTCTTGAGATGGTTTCTTTATTTAAGGAGCCACGTGCTCACACTCGAACAGGCGGAGACCCCCACTGCAACAGCCCCGAGTCTCCTGCGCATCTCCCTTATATACGGTCCGAGGCCACGCCCCCATTTCCGAACCTTCTCGCTGGTTCTAGACCGCTCGCTCTACCAGCAGGCTCCACCGTCCTCTTCCGTTACCTGGCCACGCTCCTATTCTCGATCATTCCCGTAGCCACCAGTCCATTCGCACTGCAGGCTGACTCCCCTGTGGCCGCTAGTCCACACACACCGTAGGTTGACTCTACACATCTATTAAGCCGAAAGTCTGTGATCAAATCACTGTGAATGTGAGCTCAGAAGCTAAGCAGGCAGGGGCCCTGGATGGCGCTTTGCTCAGTGACCACCATGCAACAGCACACCAAAAACACAAAACGCACCACCGCCTTAACCATTATGCAGGCCGCCAGTTCATGAAGAGCTGCATTTGTCTGCATCTTCAGTCACCCGTCAATAAATCGAGCGAATTTGACCAATCTTGAGGCAGCGGTCAGACGGAGAGACGTCTCGAGACTGGGGCTACCTCGTCAGTAGAAGACAGCGCAGAAACAACTTCACGTGAAATCCTGCTGGCTTCACCAACTCCAAACTGACCAGTATGCTCCGTCAACCCTGACAGACACGGCATTGGGAGGCCCGCATCCAGCAGTGGAATTGACGAAGGGCCGCACGTGTCCTCAGGTCATAGCTCCCCTTCACCTAATGAAGTCCAAGTGAGCAGTTTGGTTAAATATGAGCCATCTAACGATGTTTCAATTGAGCGATTAAAATAGATTCGTATGCTCGGGATATGGACATTGAATCGTGACCCTGGGAATTTATCATTACATATTTGCGAATGATACGATGGTGGTACATTTCGGCTGCCAGAGTAAATGCGATTGTAGTGAAATTACAAGAATTAATTTAGAAACATTACGAAGTTATTATGGATACAAAGTAGATGGATGAAACTATACAGAAGGGAGGCTGTTCATAAATCAAGAGGTGATAGACCCGCTGGGGTAATAATGGATAGTACATGCCTGTATACAGTACATCTCTGCCATGTAAGTGAATTGGAGTACTGTGGTAAATATGGAAAATGTGTCAGGGGTTGGAACAGTGGCAGCAGTGGTTATATCGCATTACACTCTGAAGCCAGTCACCCCGAGTTCGAACTCTGGTTACGGCTATCATCAGTGGCGAGTGATATCATCAGTGGCGAGTGATATCAGAACCATCTCCCCTTACCGACCCTCACCAACCCACATGGTGAAGTATGGTCAAACAAACCACGTGAGCAACATGCCACGAGGAGGCCTTTGATTCAGCAGTGGCTGGACAAAGTCTGGTCATTGGTATCTACTGTGTAATTAAACATATCACGAGTATTTGCATCAAGACTGCACACCGTCACCTCAATGCCCCACACTTGCTTTGTTGGTTGGGCTTGTTCACTTGCTTGTCTGGATTGACCACATCGCGCAAAGCTGTAACGTTAAACCCTGGACGTCTATAAACACATGATGTGTGTGGGTGGGTGTCTTTGTGTAGCGGTCGTGTAGCGGTCGTGTAGCGGTTAGCGCGCTGCACTATGAATCCGGCGACCCGGGTTCGATTCCCGCTCACGGCCAACACCGGTGACGATTATCTGGGCCTCCGCTAGGTCGACTCGGCCTCAAATGAGTACCTGGTGTGGTGTGTAAACATCGCCACTGACGATACAAAGGCGGTCGGGCGTGGTGCTGGCAACCCACCCCTTCGTGTACCGTTCCTGCCTTCATGGGTGCTCGCTAACAGCACTTGCCCCGACAGTCTTATAAGGCTATACGGGGTGTGTATATATAAAAAAGGGTTCGCTGGCTCAAGAGATAACCGTGGTGTATTATTCCGTGTCTGCCTGGACGCACATTTGATCTGGGTGCGAGGCTGCTGCTGCTCTGCGGTGTTGATGATCTCTCCACCGAGTCGTTCTCGGGTTTCGCGAGTTCCGTTTCTCCAACTGTGGTGCTGTACGGGCTACCACTTACTCATCCACCTACTAACTCACCTAATCACCCACCCTCTTACACAACCACCCTCTAACTCACCCACCTACTTACTCACCAAACCACCCACTAACGCACCTACTCACCCACTTACTCACCCAACCACCCACTAACTCACCCACCCTCTTGCTCACCAAACCAATCGTTAACTCACCTACACACACAGCATCTTACTCACTCAACCACCCACTAACTCACCTACTCACCCACCCTCTTACTCACCTAACCACCCACTAACTCACCCACCCTCTTACCCAACCACCCGTTAACTCACCTACTCACCCACCCTCTTACTCACCCAACCCCTCATCCACACACCAGCATCCACTAATCTACTCGCCCACTGACCCAACCACCCACCCACCCTTCCACTCGCGCACCTTTTGCCGCGTTCGTCCCATCTATTTTGGAACTCCGTGCCGATCATTGTCCACCACGATTTGTCACCGTCAGCCAGTTCTGCAGTACAGCAGTAGACTCGAGGAATGTTCTGTGAAACCTCACAAAGAAGCATAACCACGGGGCCCGCTGTGTGCCATAGGAATGGCGTGAATTCCAAATGTTAATTCGTTTTCATCTCAATCGTGTTATAGGTGTCACGTCAGGAGGTCGTTTACTGCATTTGGATTTCTGGCAGAGCAGCGCGCATCCCTTTGTGTTAGCTAATTGCCTTTGGAAGTAGATATCGCAGAACTACTTCTGAGATGCCTTCAGGTGACCTCTGGTCCTCACAGTATGGGGCAGCATCCACGCCGGTCTTGCCACCCGAAGGGTAACGCTCATCACACGACAGTTTTCAAACCGAGAATTAAAAATCTCTGATCTGCTGCGGTGTTTATCAATGTTAAGTCAGGACCCGAATTTAATGTGGCAAGTTTTTTTTGTACGTGTGTGTGTGTGCGGTCGTTGGCGACTGGGTTGAAACCTTTGGGCTAACTACACCCGAGAAGCCGCTTGAACTACGGGCAGCTGTCTGGATTTGAACCCAACTCATCGACGGTGCCCAGCTCGGCACTCCGACCTTTGAACCGCCCTGCCGAGTCTCCCGAGCTTGAGAGATATTCAGAGTTCTCGGCTCGCGATGGGATAGTACGCAAAGTTCAGTTCCATCACGCGGAGATGTTACCGGCCCATTGTTAGGTAACGGCGAGTTGATTCAACGATTCTTAACGCGTGCATCATGTGGATGCACGCGTTGTCAGTTATTACATTGTACTGTATAACAATGTAATAATTGTTAATTCTAGATTTGAAGCTGTAATAATTGTTAATTCTAGATTTGAAGCTTTCGTGACTGCAAGAATTCATACTCTTTGGTTTTATTCAGTCAAGTCACGTGGGTAAAAAAACTAATTAAAATTAAATGAAAGAAACAATTAGAATATACCTATGTGACTTACCCGAATAAAACCAAAGAGTATGTAATAATTGTTGTTTGTGTGTTGTCTTGGTGTGTTGTGGGACTTTTGTTGTTGTTGTTGTTGTTTTGCTATCCTGCCCAGCTTGCATTTGAGGAATGTTACATACTTGTGCATTTTGTACTTGTATACTTTTACTCGTCTTGATTTTTGTTAGCGACTTGCTTTACCTTTTCTCAACCTTGCTTTCTTACATCCGGTTGTTTGTATTGTCGACGTAAATCGTTGAACCCCGGTGTGCCCCTGCCCGTACGCCTGCGTGAAAGAAACAAAGAGCTTCACAGCTCATCGGATTCCACCCTCCGCAGTCCTTCGCAAAGGTCCCCTCGCCCCCCCCCGCCCCTGCCCCCCCCCCCGATTTCCCGCGCGTGTGCAGGTGCCTGCAGCCGGTGAGGATGGTGGCGGGCGCGCTGGCGGTGGGGTCGGCCTGTGGGGGGCTGGCCTGGGCACGCCGGCACGGGGAGGCGGTGCGGCTCGCGCAGCGTCACAGCCCGGGCGGCGTCGCCGTGGCGCTCGCCCTCTGCAGCCTGGTGCTCTGCCACCTCGTGGGCGGCCTCCTCTTCTTCCTCAGCGGCATCGCACTGCCCGTGCTGCGTGAGTCGCCCGCCCGCCCGCCCCATCCTCATCCTCCTCCTCCTCCACCGCGGCGGCGTTAACTCGGACAGCAAACGGTCGCCGCCGCACCGCGCCGGCACTCTCAGACGCGTCGTTTCTGCGGCCGTCTGGCGTGCTCGCTCGCTTCTCGCATTAGGAAGCCACTGGGGACCTGTGCACTTTTCAATCATCTCGATTGAAAAGTCGCTTCTTTAGAGCTGCTTTTGTTGTGTCCACCCCCCCCCCCCCCCCCTCCCCCCCCCCCCGCGGACCTCCGATTAGCACGGTTGGCTATGTACGGTGCGAAAGAAGTTCAACATACTGACGTACAACTCATAATAAAGGGGGAGGGGTTTTTTGTTGTTGTAATCACCAAACGAAACGTACATGTTGTGGGTTTACTCTCCAACACACCGGTGTGCTCAAGTCGTAAATAATTGGCACGTTTTGTTTACGTGACGAACCATACTAATTGGCTGTGTTTAGTGGTGGTGGTGGTGGTGGTGGATTAAAGACACAATTATATTTAACCCACAAAAGAAACTTTAATATGAATAACTATGGTCACGAAAGCCCACTACCACGTGTTAGAAACCAGCGGCGCTAAAGTTCGTGTCGAAATAATACAATGATGAGGGTGGCAGCCGAGGATCGCGAACGCATCCGGGCGGACGTTCACCGAGGAGACGGAGGGAGCCATGAGATCTGTTTGCGTGCAGGTGCCCGCTGGGTGGGATTGTTGCACGGCAGGATCGTGAGAGGTGGCGGCTGTGGAATTGGCCACACGTCCCAATGCTGAAGAAGTACCCGCAAATTACCTAATTTGGCCGAATTTAGCAGGCCTGAATTTGCTTAAGATTATTAACAATTAACAAAGTTAGCGAGCGATATATTCGTGACCAAAGTGGGCTCTCTTTTTATCAATGATGTTTGTGAGTGGATGAAAAAATCGTCGATCGTGACGAAGTGTTTCTCCGTCGTCGGCGTCTGTTCAACAAGGCTAGAGGCGAGGGGTAACACAACGCACACACAGCTGTTCAGCAAGGGAGACGCGGTGGCGTTCACAACACACCCGACGCAGTGGGCAGAGGCGGAGGTTGCAGCCCAGCAATTTCTCGCTCAAGCCGCTGCCGAACGACGGTGGATTTTTTTAAAAAAATGTTTTAACGACTCCTCGTTTGTCCCGACGCAGTGGTGATCCTGCACGCGTCGCTCCGCTTGCGCAACATCAAGAACAAGGTGAGCAACCAAATGGAGCTGCTCGGAGTGAAGAGGACCCCCATGGGACTGCTGCTGGAGGCCCTGGGCCAGAACCTGGATCCGCAGGCCGACGACACGACTGAGGCAGAGCAGCGGTACCCCAAGTCCCGCTGAGCGACGTGGCCGTTGATCAACTAGGGGGGGGGGGGGGGTGAGCAACTTTTAGGGCAATCGTCGCCGGCAACGAGTTCCAGCACGAGCGACCGTGGCGACTTTGGGGGCGACGGAGTTTCTGTCTCGCGCCGATCGGAGAGCGGCGTTTTTTGAGTTAACAGTAATTCATTTAGAGATGAGAGATAGCAATCTGTTGCTGAAGTGCATCTGCTGAAAAAATAGGCTCAGAGGCATTCGGGGGATGGCTATAGTACGAGTCACTAATTGGTCAGGGGACATGAAATTGGTAATTCGGCAATTCCTTCATGCAGTCCACTGACTGGCATTCGCTCAGTCAGTCGCTCAGCCACTGCGATACATTGCAATGTAATCTTTGCCTCTCGGGGAAAAAAAGTCTTCAGTCGTCAGAAGGCATCTCTCTCGTCCATCCACATGCACCGACTTGGAGCCGCCATTTCTCAAGATGAAAAGAGATTTCTTGGCGGTCAGTCACGTGAGCTCCGTCCGCTATCCGATTGGATCTGCCCCAAGGGGGGACAGCCACAATCACATTTGTTCAGGTTTTGGGCAACTATATTTTTACAACAGGAACCATGCTGCAGCAACCATTGCTGGTGACGATTGCCCCCCCCCCCCCACCTAGAATGAATTTCCCCCTGTGAAATCACGGATTCCGGCGGACGGGGGGGGGAGGGGGGGTGCTGGTAATTGGGAGCGGTCCGTGTACGTGTCGCCGAGTTTATTTTGAATTAACCAGGTGAAAACTCAAGAGGCCAATGATAGGCGGTCTCATTTTCAAGGTTGAACCCGGCTCGCCGCGAGTGACAAAAACAAAAGTGCTGCGGAGTAGAAGTCGGATGAGCAGCCGTGCCACGCGAGGAGCACATTGCGCTAATACAAGATGATGTATTAAAGATGTCAAGATAATAAGACATTCACCGTCGCGTTAGCCGGCTCGGGCAGGTGATGTTGAGACTGGTCGCAGTACAATTTGCAAATTGAGCATTGGAAAAACATTAAATGAATACAGGGTAACTGCTAATACTGTAACTCTATGTATAATCCTGGGGGCAGTGGCTGAGGGGGGGGGGTGGGGGCAAATGTGAACGAGGGGTCCCTCTACTGGCGATGCGAGTGCCAACGCCCGGACGTGCAGCGTCACCACGCACTGGGGTCAGCCAGATGTCAGGCTCACAATATTCAGGTCATGGTTGCTTCCAAACTCCGCCCCAGGTGTTTTTCCTGCCTCGTTTTGTGATGACACGCGTAGGGTGGATTAACGACCTCGATATGCAGCGACTCGCGTATGGACGCGTAGGATCGCTCGCACAGAAAACACTGGAGACACACGGACGTACGTAGAGACACGTAGGCTCGCACGAGAGAGAGTCGGACTCGCTTCGAGATCCATAGACTCACACAGGGACGTATAGACTCTCAGGAGACCCATAGACTGACATAAGGACCCTATAAGGCACTGCAATGTGCTTGCAGTATATTTATCATCAGTGCATAAGAGACCCATAGACTCGCATAGAGACCCCACTGAGGATCTGGAATGCCATCACCACACCGGTGCAGTGATGGCGGTGCTGCATTGGTGCGGCACCATCATCACCGCACCGGTGCGGCGCCACCACCACACGGTGCCTTTACGTTCAAACTACCAATGAGTCCACCTGCACGCATCGTCACCCACGACTGGAAACCCCGAGGGTTAGTATCAGTCGCTCACCGTGTCCGGGACCCACGCACCACACCGATCGTGAAGGGTTAGAGACCCTCCCCCCCCACTCACGTGCCCCAGATCCCCACCCCCCCCATTGGTCGAGGGATACGTTGATGAAAAAACCACCAGAGTCCGCTGTTGCCTTATGTGCGCTTCCCCGTGGATCGTGCGTCCGAGGAATGCGTCCTCGGCAATGTCGAGTAAGAAAAACAAAACCCCCGGGCCCGCTTGCAACGTTCTGTGCTGCAGGCATGTGCCCATGTCGAGGCATGCGGCGGCGGCGGCGGCGGCGTCTAAGCGGAGCTGCCTTGCCACTGTTTGTTCGCACGCGAATGTTCCCGTACGGGAAACGCTCAAAATGCTTCCCTGTCTATTACCACCGTGTGCCCGTCACACTTCTCACCGTAACGTCCCTTCAAAGTTCCCTCTCTGGCCTCTAGAAGTATACCAGTATTTTTTTTTAATCTATTTACGCTCGTTTACCCCATGGGCAGTCTCACCGAGCCTCAAGACTCCTCTTTCATGAGAGTAGTGCGTGGAGACCGACTTTGCTATTGTGCGTAATCCCAATCGAGTGATTTTTCAGATAATCTCATCAGGTGTTTAGCCAATACCAGTTACATTGGGGTCCTTTGTTGCCAGGTTTGTTTTGTTTTTTAGCTACGGGAGGAAATTGGAGATGTCCCGGAGGGAAAACCCCACGCAGGGGCAGGGGAAAGACGTAAAAATAAAAATAAAACTTCACACAGAACGGGAGCCAGATTAGGGAATCAAACCCAGAGCCCCGTCCTTGCTGCGAGGTGGTCACCACTGCCGCCCCGCCGCTGCCGCTGCCGCCCCGCGTGCGACCGCGTCTGCCCTCACCACCATAAACGTCACTTCAGCTCCCTGCAGAATTCTCGCCGTCATCGGCTGCTGTTATGACGACGCAAAAAAGAAAACTCTCCCGATGGGTGCTCTCTCGCATTCGGACGCACTTAGCGGTGGTCCACGTCAAGCAACCTTGGCCAGTCCCATTGCTTGAACGAGGCACTCCCCTTGAAGCAACGTCACGCTGCGGGGTCCTTATTTTGACCATACCTCACCACGCTGGCCGGTCAGTGCGGAGTCGTTGATTTGCGGGGGAGCGTAGACGGGGGGGGGGGGGGGAGTGGAAGGTACAGCGGTGCCAACGATGGATTCTGCTGCCCCTGCACTGTGCTGCCAAACCACGTAGCCCCCTCCCACCGCACAGCCTATAACACCTTTTGTGGTCGATGCTTTATAATCGCAGACTGCATGACACCCATTGGGTTGTGTTATGTCCGAAGTGCGATACGCGAGCAGAGCCCCCTTTGTTTCACCTCATCCAGTTACATCGGCTCGCAACGAAGTTCTCCCGCCGGTTAAACTGTTCCTCGCAGTTGGCAAACAGCGGGGGGCCATTTACAGAGCATTGAGTCGACGTGAAGACATTGCCGATGAGTTTTAAATCAATTTGGAAGATGTAGGTGTTGATGGGAAGGGGTAGAAGCAGTAGCGCAGTGGTTAGGGCACTTCGACTGTGAACCCGGCAGGCCTGAGTTCGACTCCCGACCGTGGTGAACATCAGTGGCTGATGATGTCTGAGCCGCTCCTCGGACAACCCCCTCCCACTTCACCAACCCACACTTGACCAGCGTGGTGAAGTATGGTCAAACAACCTCCATGGCTGATACGGTGTGGGTAGACTGTCTATCAGTGTATTGACACAAAGCTGCGTATTATTATTACTACAAGTAGTGTAGCTAAACACTGGTTGAGTATTTACAGTAATATTCATTGTGAATGGGTGAGATTTGTCAGCTGATTGGAATTGGTCCAAGCACTGGTTTTAAAGTTATTTGTTAAAGAACCTCAGTCACGGAAAGCTTGGTTTTTAGTGGAATATTCACAGCGGTTGGCTTTCAAATGATCTCTTGCAGTAGATATTGCTACGTGGTTTGTAGTATTTTTGCCTCTGCCGTATATTTTCGTAGGGAACGCTAATAAAACATCTGCACAGCACTGTGTAAAATCTGTGACAATTAAACTTGTAACGATTTGCCGCCCTGCATTTCAATGAATTGTCGCGATCCGGGAATCGCAGTTTGGGTTTGAGAATATATGCAAGGTGTTATTTTTACGTCGTCATTAGTGGTAGCTCATCGCTCAAAACAGATTACGACCAATGTGAATTTCAAACTAATCGATTCGCGCGCACACGATTTCATGTGCGGGTACTATGAACTTAAGAACCGATGTCAATCGATGAATTGTGGCATTGTGGTCTCAGAAATCCGACAATCTGGCCGCGATATAAAAATCTTGGGACGATCAGAAAATATTTTGGGTTGATCTGAAAAACCGTAAGTCACTAACGAGACACCAGTTCCGCCAAAAGTGCCATCGTCACGTGTCGTCGAGGTGAGGCCACAGCTGTTATCACGAAGACGCGTCCTGCCATGCGTTACTTAATGGAAATTAATCTGGAAACAGAAAAGTGAAACTTTTCTTAAAAATGTGAAAAATCCGAAATTTTACGAATCTGAAACTCGCCCCTAGTATAAAGAAACTGACGGTGACAGCCCAATTTAGAAAGTGAATTGAAAGTTAATGAACACCACGTGTCAACAATAAACAATACCCAAGTTCTATAGGGCAAGTTCCTGTGTGAACCCAGAGTAACTATTAACATCCTGTTTCTTTTCCTGAATATTAAGCACCAAAACAATACGTTTCCTCTCAACGTTCAAATACTCTGGTTATTCTTTCGTACCAAAAATAAAGTAATGATTTGGCGACTGTTGACCTGCCACTCGCAATGAAATCCCGAGCTGAATGTATTGTTGTAACCAGGTCTACACACAAGCCGATGTCACAGTGAGTGAACCTCTTGTCAACCAGACCCTGTTAAGTTGAAACGGATTTGTATTTTCAGTTGTTTGCCCGCACCTTGGTTTCATCCAGCTCTGCCAAATACGTAAAGTTGTATTCACATTTTCTTTTGTCATTTCTTGCAAAATGCGATTAATAAAAATAATGTAATATATAAAAGGTCTGCACGTATCACTGTTGTCGTCCTCCCCCCCCCCCCCCCCCCCCCCCCATCTAATTACCGACTATAATCACCCAAAACATGTCTGTCCGTCCCGCGTGTGACGGCACTCCACATGAGGACCACCCCCCCCCGCCTCATTAATATTCATGAGTGTGTGGATTTTTACACGAACGCAAAGGTCGTGCTGAATTAAATAATTTATTACGCAAAGTCGCTTCAAATATGACGACGTTTCTTTACAGAAAGCGACGGTAAAAATAAATCTACGCAGCACAGGGGCTACATCCGCGCGTGACGTCTCCGCAAGAGGAGGACACTGCGTCTAAGCCGGACCCAGAGAGTGACCCAACGTAGAAGTAAGAAAACAGTTGCCCGTAGAAGACGGAGAAGACCTGATGATGATGATGATGATGCAGGCAGTGACGAGCAGGAGACTGCCACTGTTTGGACCCACGTGTAGGGTGGACAACAACAGGAGAACTAAAACGGTTGTTGGTGTTGCTGTTGTTGGGAAAATTTTGGAAGACCTCGCAGAGAATGGCTTGATGATGACGACATCACAACAGATTGGTGCCAGAAAGATGTGGCAAGTGGAAACGTGTCGAAATGTAGCCGCGGACACCTGGGGGGGGGGGGGGGCTATCAGCCCATGGATCGTGACGACGATGATGATGACCATGCAGGCACGCCTGAGTCTTATGACACATTTTTAGGAGGGTTCTGCAGAGTGTTTTTTTTACAGTAGGGAGAGATGGTTGCAAAGTAGAGTATTTTCCCAATTGAGTAATTTGCGGTGTCAATTTTCAAATATCGAAAATGTAGACGATGATGCAGGCACATTAAAAACTATTAAACTTTGACTTGAAACTTTTGTGACGGCAGGAATTCATATTCTTGGTTCTTTCGGTAAAGTCACGTAGATAGAAAATAAAAGTAATTTATTTACTTTTATTTACTTTTATTATTAATAAAAGTAAATAAATTACTTTTATTATTTTTTCTACCTTCGTAACTTTACCGAAAGAACCAAGAATATAACTATTAAACTATTTGTAGTTTAACACGTAGGCTTTCGCGACCAATATTATTCATAATAAAGGTTTTTGGGTTAGATCGCGTTTATTTATAAATGTGTCGTAACCCTCCACCACCCGACATGGCCAATCAGCAAAAAAAGTGTCACGTTGACAAAAGACAAATAATTCACTACTTTAGTCCACCAGTATGTTGAAGAGTGAATCCACATTTACAGTTTGAGTACGACGTTTCGCTGGTAAATACATCCAGCATCATCGGGCATTTCGCCAGAATGGTAAAGCCCTCGCTTGCTCCCGGTTTTATATAGAGCAGCAGGGTGACGTCATCACTTAACTCATATCAGGTGCAGTGATTAGAGGCGGAGGGGGGGTATTGTAATTATATAATCGATTAGTAATCAGTCATTGGTTATGATTAGTAATGAGTTGTAGATTAGTAATTCTTTAAATCAAAATTTAATGTGTATTATTTAATAATACGCTTCCAGGCCGCACTAAGCCTGTAGCTGTCAGAGCGATTAAAGTTATTCTTGTTCCTCTCAATTTCAATGGATTCTCTAATTAGTCTTTGCCAGTAATAATTAGTTTTACACACCACTGCAACATTGTCAAAATCAATTGAGTGTCCTTGTTGACAAGCATGTTCTGCCACTGCCGACAGTTGTGTTTGAGATAATTTAATATTTCTCTGATGTTCTTTTAGTCTTATGCTGATGTTACGTCCCGTCTGCCTAATGTAGCAGCTGCCACATAAACAATTAATCCGATATACACCTTCTGTTGATAATTTAGGTAATGCGTCTTTAGTGCAAGATACTAGTTTTTGAATTTTGTGTACTGTACCAAATCTTACTGTAATGTTTTGCTTTTGCAAAACACGGGCTAATTTGTCAGTTACTCCTGAGATATATGGAATTTTTATTGTTTTAACAATCTGGTCGCTTTCAGCAGTATTGCTTTGCGATCGTGATTTGGCATTCAGTGCTCTGTTAATTTGAGCATTATTGTAGCCATTCTGTCGTAGTGCATCTTTAACGTGTTTAATCTCTCTCACTAGACTCTCACCATCTGACACTGTTTTAGTCCGATGTATGAGCGTCTTGATGAGAGAGGATTTCTGAGCTGGATGATGATGTGATTCTGCATTCAGATAGGCATCAGTGTGCGTTTGCTTTCTGTAAACGCTGTGTGTTATTTTACCGTTTAGGCCATGTCCAAGCAAAATATCTAGGAATGGGAGTGTGTTATTCACCTCCATTTCCATGGTGAACTGGATGGCCGGGTTTTGTGCATTGAGATGATTTAGAAAATCAGTAAGTGTATCTTTACCATGTGGCCAGGCAACCAAAGTGTCATCCACATATCTAAACCAAAAGGATGGTTTTGGCTACAATAATGCTCAAATTAACAGAGCACTGAATGCCAAATCACGATCGCAAAGCAATACTGCTGAAAGCGACCAGATTGTTAAAACAATAAAAATTCCATATATCTCAGGAGTAACTGACAAATTAGCCCGTGTTTTGCAAAAGCAAAACATTACAGTAAGATTTGGTACAGTACACAAAATTCAAAAACTAGTATCTTGCACTAAAGACGCATTCCCTTAATTATCAACAGAAGGTGTATATCGGATTAATTGTTTATGTGGCAGCTGCTACATTGGGCAGACGGGACGTAACATCAGCGTAAGACTAAAAGAACATCAGAGAAATATTAAATTATCTCAAACACAACTGTCGGCAGTGGCAGAACATGCTTGTCAACAAGGACACTCAATTGATTTTGACAATGTTGCAGTGGTGTGTAAAACTAATTATTACTGGCAAAGACTAATTAGAGAATCCATTGAAATTGAGAGGAACAAGAATAACTTTAATCGCTCTGACAGCTACAGGCTTAGTGCGGCCTGGAAGCGTATTATTAAATAATACACATTAAATTTTGATTTAAAGAATTACTAATCTACAACTCATTACTAATCATAACCAATGACTGATTACTAATCGATTATATAATTACAATACCCCCCCTCCGCCTCTAATCACTGCACCTGATATGAGTTAAGTGATGACGTCACCCTGCTGCTCTATATAAAACCGGGAGCAAGCGAGGGCTTTACCATTCTGGCGAATTGCCCGATGATGCTGGATGTATTTACCAGCGAAACGTCGTACGCAACTGTAAATGTGGATTCACTCTTCAACACACCGGTGGGCTAAAGTAGTGAATTATTTGTCTTTTGTCAACATGACACTTTTTTTTTTGCTGATTGGCCGTGTCGGGTGGTGGAGGGTTACGACACATTTATAAATATACGCGATCTAACCTAAAAACCTTTATTATAAACTATTTGTATTTTACCAGGTAAGGCCCACTGAGCTGTGTAGCTCTTTTTTAGAAGGGACCTGGCCACAAATGATAGCTCAATGAAGTGGCTTATCACGTGGAAATTTATAGCAGCCAAATATTCTAAATGCGTGTTTATTAATGTGATGAGAAAAACCGGAGGACCCGGAGAAAATCCACGCGACCGTGGGGAGAGCATGCAAACTCCAAATATACAGACATTAGGGTCAGAGTCGAACCCATGACCTCCTGCATACCAGGCGAGGGAGATAACATCTCGCCACCGCGGCGCCCACACACTGGCCTACTCTTGGGAATAACCTCACGGAATCTTGAACGTCCAACTGAAGCAGACAGCGTATATTAGCATTGTCATATCCACAGTATTAACCAGGGCAACCGCTAGATTCTAACTGTGAACCACTGCAACGAGCGGGGAATGTGCCGCTGCCAAACCACGTTACCGCATATGGACGCTATATGAATAAACAAATACATATCGAAAATACTAAATAGTACTTTTAAAAGGAAACCCTAAAGTAAAGGTCCATCCAGAAAATGTAGAACTGCTCTAAATGACACGACATTTGCCCTTCCTGCTGTATACACAATCTTGCTCAATTCTCGCACATGGCAATTTGTTTGCGCTAAATGTCTAATGTCGACGTCTGCAGGCCACGATGAGAGGACTTCAGGAGAGAGTTTGTGTAGTTTTGCTATTCCCCCTTTGTTGAAGGAGCGCAGACTTACCAGTAGTTTATTATAGGTCCATAGTTTGAGTTGCATGGCCAGAAATGAACTATGTTGGGCCCTCTGTTGAGTTTGTATGCCCATTTGAACAGGGCCTGTGGTGCCCATACAGCCCACAGGGCGACCATCGCGGCGTGTAATTCTCCCACGTGGAACAGTTGACGTCTCACGTTGAACCGAGTTTAAACGGTTGCCCCTAATGATTCACAAATCAGCTCAGCGTTACCTGAGTAATCAGACCATGCCGCGTGCACAGAGATAGCAGGACGTGTATTTTTATACCCGTTCGCGCGCGCGCGCGCGCACACACACAAGGGCAGTGACACTACTTAAGCCACTTTGCCGTCACCAACTCGGGATTCGCTCAACGCACCATCGGTGTCAATCTTGCCGGCGCCGATAGCTCGCGCCACGTGGAACGTGCTCGCTGCATCTCCGCGACGGTCCGCCCGGGCGAGCGATGAGCGACGAGGTCGATGGCGACGCCGCAGAGGTGTGCGGCGGCGACGGTGCCGCGACGCCGCCGCCGGCGACGACGAGGGAGACGCGAGTCATCGGCCGTCTCGGGGTGTCGTACGAGACTTACGACGAGGATCAAGCAACAGACCGCCAGGACATCGACGATGAGCTGGACCCAGAGCTGCGCAAGCGAACGATCAAGTTGCTGCTGCTAGGTACGTGTGCGTTCGGTCCTGTGCGTGTGTGTTGACCTGCCACCTTGCAGGTAACAAAAAACTGGGATGTCATCATGGAAAGAGGGATATCTCACAATACTGGAATAAGGGATCACTGCATAGGAGTGCATTGTCTTGAGTGGTGCATTTTCGTGCAAACTGTTACATCATCATGCAACTTACAAAAATCGTGACTTTTTATCTCCCAGGGAGACTTACAGATTTCGCATGACCCCCCACAGCGACCTGTGTTTGATTCCTGGCCACAGCTGGTTAACGCCAGTGGCGAGCGATATCTGAACCTGTTCTTGGACTGCCGTAGGTTGACTCGACCATAAAATGTGTGCCTGGTGCGGTGTGCAAACGCTGGGAAGAAAAGGCGTCCGATTGTGGAGTTGGCCACAACACCACTCCCTTGTGCGCCGTGCCAGCCTGAGAAGGTGCTCGCTAACTGCACTTTCCCCAGAAGTCTGTTAAGGCTACATGGGGGATCTTTGTCTTTGTGCCTTTACTTTCCGTTTGTCCATCTTGGTGATAACAAATTCAGCATACAATACTGAGAAGTCTCTGCATGATTTGAGGATCTTCAATAAAGTTCTGTACGTGAAATGTGTATATTTGCCTTGCACACTTTCATCACCCACCGTCATTCACAGCCATTATGCGTTCTTAATAAATGACTGCACAATTGCCACCGCGCGAGTTTTCGTGGCTGCGCTGAATTCCTCCCCGTTTCGTTTTATTTGTTTTGTTTGTACCGCGCGTCGTGCGGAACTACGTTCGACCCACTTTCCCCGCCAGGCTGCTGGAAGTCTCTGCGGGGAACCGAGTTCGGATTCCTGAGAGACGTTCCCACAGACGCGTCCGAAAGAAGCTCCCTCGGGGCTCGGGAGCGGGCGTCAAGGTGACGTGCAGACGCGGCACTGTGATGCGTGAACCTGTGGTCGCCGCCGGGTATTGGGGAGAGGCAAATGCGCTTGGTGGCCGTCGGCGTCCGCCCCGGGTAATCTGCTCAGGATAATCTCCGACGGGGGAGGATTGGCCGCAGCAGTCAAACAATCGCCCCAATTGCTTCACGGTGCCGGGTGGGATGGAGGCGCCGAGGCTTTAGCGGTGGCCTCGCAATGCCGAGGAGCGCCTCGAAGCGTGACACAAAGACTACGGCCCGGCAGCAGCCCATGTGTTGACATGACAACAAACGCTGCTGCTGATGCTGCTGTGCTTACGCTTCTTTTTAGGCCTGTTGAACGATGCCCGACGTTTTTCTCCATTTCCTGACAGCTTATTCCTGGACTTCAAGAACTATTTTCACTTTTTTTGAAACTTTGGCAGCTGAATTCGGTTCCTGAAGAAGCAACCATGATGTCCAACATTTTGTTCCACATGCTGGGAGCTTCTTCATGAACTAAACGGAGCTGCTGCACGTTGTCCCACGATCGCCGGGTGCCGCTGGCACTTCGTGGAGGCCAGCCGACGATGTTCATCGGCAGCTTCGTCACACGTGCATACAAGGCTCACTCGCTGTTGTTCGCTGGCTTCGTCAGACGTTGTGCCGAGCAGCACGTGGTTACATCCCAAGAACACACGGGAGAACGGTGACAAGTCGTTCCATAACCCCTTCAGCTTCCGAACAGAAGAGGTTTAGAGGGGTTACCCACCACGGCTTCCTTCATGCGCCTTCTAAACACATGGATTCATAAAAAAAAAAACTGAAAGTACATGGGCTCAAACGCGATCATCTCCCGTTAGCCCCCTGCTTTAACCGCATAGCACAATGTCGTCGGCAAACAGCATGAGCAAGGGGGGCTTCCTCTGAATCTCTCTCGTGTGTCCAGCACCAGGATGGACAGAAAGGGGCTAAGGGCAGAATCTTGCTTTACTCCCGCTTTGACTTGAAATTACTTCGAATAATTTGATTTCCAGGTACTGTACTGCCCTTCTTCCACATGAAGGCAAACACCCATTACACGAATGGAATTTGCGGAATATCCCATATCCCAATGTAGCACCACCCTGAACAGAAGTCGTGACACTCAGTAAGGTTTTCCCTAGGTAAATAATTGCCATTACACTTTTTTCCATTCCAACCTGTCCCAATTCATTAGCCACGATCAATCCACTGCTGGATAAAGGCCTCGCTAGGCCGTTGCCCTCTCTCATAGTCTTGCGATGCAACAATCCGTCTTGACTCCTCCACACAGGAGCCGATTTCATCGCTCCCTCTCAGCGACGGTCGTCCTCTCTGGCGCGCTCCCTCCGTTGGCTGCCACCTCTGTTCGTTATTCTCGGCCATCGGACTCCACAACCACTTCCTGGCGAAGCCTGTCGCTCAAGCCCACTCGTCACGTTGGCTTTCGGGGAGTTTTCTATCCCATACGACCACACACAAATACCATCCAATAAGATTCTGGCAACAGCCTTTATTGTTTCAGGCACAATTAATGTTTATTTTCACACTTAAATTCACGTTTCTCCTGACAATCCCTCTCGAAGGTGTTCCACTTTTGTGTTTTTCCTCTCGCAAGAAGCCGTTAGTGATCGTGTGGCCACCGATAATGCCACTGACGGCGGTTAATCGGCGTTTATTTCGAGGGATGTGCTAATTGGATCATCAGCTGCCCTTGGCAGTGATTTTAAGATGCCAGGTAATTGATAAAATTAGGTCTAATTCTTGGGCTCTCTTGTGCCATCAAGGATTTAGTTAAATAATCTGCAGGCACGTTTTAGAGGGTCTCAGTAAGCAATGCGAATACACGTCAAAGCGTGTTCTCTGCGCAGGGAAAAGCAATACTGGCTCAGTTGCGAGTGTACCGAGCGTTTGAGCAGATGCTCGTAATTTTGAGATTTGATTGTTCTTCAAATCCTACAGAGGCCAATGCCAAGGAAATGAGCGGGGAGATTACGTGCGGAGAAGGCAAACGTTTTATTCCGAAGTTTCCGAAGCATCTACAACCTATTTAACTGCAGCTCCTCAAATATTGCAATGCTTTCCTCTGTAAGGCAGAGATACCAGCGGGGTGTATCTGTAAATGGAGCACGCTGTATATATTAATACAGTATACTCAGGTTAATTCTAGATTTGAAGCTTTCGTGACTGCAAGGATCCATACTCTTCAGATTTACAAACAGAGGCACAATTTCAACCGAGAAGATGGTTTCAAATTAAGCAACCATTGGAAAGATGTTCTAAATCGAACCAAACATTAAACTAATTTTCAATGGTACAGTATATATTTTTTCAAGTAGTGGTATCCCAAACTTTCTCAGCTGCTTAAATTCCCTTTTCACACCATCAATATGTAAACTCCCCCTCCCCCCCTCGCCGGTCTGCACATGTTCACCTCCTCCACACCTTTCACCATGCTAAGTCCGCCAATTGAATGCTAATTTGTATGCTAATTCATTTGTCAAGGCACCTAATTCCTCTCACACAAGCTTAAAGGTCGCGGTCTGAGCTTGGCTGTGTTCACTCCAGCGCTGTCCTCGAGACAGTCTGGTCCCTTCACCTGATGAAGGCCACTTGTGTTGCGGCCGAAACGTCGTGATTTTTGTCGTTTTATTTTTTACCTACGTGACTTTACCGAATAGAACCAAAGAGTATTACTCAGGCCAGTTGTATAATAATGTAACGGGGGAAAGCATTGGTTTGCGCTCTGCACTCTGAAACGAGTGACATGAGTGGTGAGTGATATCTCAACCAGTGCTGGGTTATCTCCGAAACTCACCGACCCGCACTCAGCAGCGTGGCGAGGTATGGATTAGCAAACAGCAATACATTATCATCAAATCAACAACTATGGCCCAATACTCACAATCGCCAAATGTGGAGCTCAACAAGAAGCTTGTAAGATTCATAAGGTGCAGGGACATTACCCTTTTCTTAAGGATTGAGTTAAATACTCAGATCGGGACACTCCCACTGTGTGTGGATTGGTTAGTGCATGTTAGTGCATGTTAGTGCATGGGACTTGCGATCCAGAGGTCACCAATTCAATTCAATCTCCTGGCATGGCAGTTGAAATATTTCACAATTTCTAGATTTGATGTTTTCGTGACTGCAATGATCCATACTCTTTGGTTCTTTCGGTAAAGTCACGTAGGTAAAAATAAAAAATAAAGTTAATCAAATCACGACGTTTCAGAGGCAACACAAGCTTCCGTCATCAGGTGTAACTAGCACAGCAAAATTACAGTAATTTTGCTGTGCTAGTTACCTACGTGACTTTACCGAAAGAACCAAGGAGTATGTAACAAGTTTCTTAAACACAAATCAAACCTTGATCGTTGGTGCAGCCTTAGAACAGAAAAAAAACATCACTAGCATCATCAGGCCTTATCAATCCACTGCTGGATGAAGGCCTCTCAAAAGATATCGGAAAATAATCGGAATGAGATTTCACGACATATGTTACATATATACAATCATACATTCATCTCCAAATCTCTCGATGGCCTTGCCACGCCTTATCTTGCGTCTATCTCCTTCCATGTTGCCTCTCACCCTCATAGAATGAAGCTACCAGCTCCATGTGACACAGTCCAGTGGAGGGCAGTCCTCAACCAGTGGGTGAAGTTCCACATTCAAATGACCGGGGCCGGTCTAAAGATAGGGTGAACATTGACTTTGATTTCCTGCTACGGCCGTTGAAATGGGCAAGTTTCCTAAATCCCTCCACCTCTGTCCAACCAGTGGTTGGTCAAGTGGCAGGTCGAATGCGATGGAGTAGAGTGCGGATAGTCCCATCTCTTCCAAGCAGTGTGGCCAGTGTGGAAAAGTAGGCCAAATTCCCTATAGACCTCCCTCTAATGGAGGGCCTTCCTCCAGCAGTGGCTTGAGCAAGCAATTGCAGGGCTGCACCCTTGCCTGTTACGATTTTGTTACGACTTAAATAATGGCACACGACACATTTTACCGATTGCATTGGCTGCAGCGGGATGATGGACTGAGTTGTCTCTAGACCAGATTTTGAATGCGGGACCTTTTGTGAGTGGAGCGATCGAACAACAATGCCACCTGGCTAGATACGAAAATGGGGAAATAACCAAATAACCCCCTCCCCCCACCCCCTCACCCATGACAGATGACTCGATGAATGGCCTGGTTCACGAGTATCGGGCATTAACTCTGATGATGAGAGGGAACGCAATCAATTTACCCAGATTACTAAAATGTGATTCGTGGCTGAGCTGGATTTGGGATTACGGGAGCAGGTAAAGAGGGAGAGCAGGATGGCAGAGAAAATGCGGCTGGGGAGCCGGTGGGGGGATGGTGATGGTCGGGACTGGTCGCAGTGGTGGGTGGAGGGAGACCTGAGGGATGGGTAAGGGAACAGGTAACTTGGATTTGGCTCTAGGGCTCTGAATTTGAGCAGCTCAGTGCTAAGCAAGTGCATCTTGGGTGGACGGAGTGTGGCCTCAGTTGGGGCCATGCTTGGCTGCGAGGCTGCTCTGTAGATCTGCGTGGCTTCCTCCTCCTCCTCCTCCGCTGTCTCCTCCTTCTCACCTCCATCCACCCGCCCAACCACCCACCCAACCTCCATCCTCCGCAACCTTGGAGAAGCAGCGATGGCAGCAGCGATATTCATCAGCACGGATTAGCGCAGACCGGACGGAGGGAGTGCCGGATAAGTCACGCACGGCGACAGAGGCGGCTCTCTCCTCTGTCCGTCGTTTTGGCTAAGCTTCTTCTCCTCCTCCAGCCTCTCGAAGGAGAGCAACAGTAGGGGGAACAACAGCAAGATTCACGGGACAACGGTGCACGGCAAAGAGTGAAGAGGCCGTTGGGAATTCAGGACATCCGAGGAAGGCCAGGAGAGAAACGGAGGAAAGACGAGGAGAGGGAGCGACGGGGGAGAGGCGAGGGGCAGTTAAGGAAGCAGGGACGAACGGCAGGGCGACGTCGGGGAGCATCATCAGAGCAGAGGAGAGGAGCCCGGCAGGAATCCCTCATGGGGAGCGGCGCGAGCGCAGAGGACAAGGAGTCGGCCAAGCACTCCAAGGAGCTCGAGAAGAAGCTCGCCGAAGATGCCGAAAAGGAGGCGAGGACGGTGAAGCTCCTGCTATTAGGTAACTAATAGCTAGGCGAGGCTCTCGATAGATGGGTTCCATTGTGATGCATCCCGGGGCCAGATGTTGTGATGTACAGCGAGCGCTCCGCTGTGTTTGCCGTTGTACCGCGTGTTGTTCGGCACGGTGTCCTGAGAGACGCAGTGCGTGGGAGTGAACGTCAGACACTTTGCCAAATAATGCGCGGTAAAAAAAAAGACTAAAGCACGTCAGAGTGCTGTACAGAACAACCGCGAACACCTACGCAGTTTCAGATGTTGCCCGTGCGGATTTATTTGTACCGAGTAATGGCTGTTTTACGTGCGAATTTAGTCAAACATGTCGGCCAGCTAAATCCACTTAAAGCAATTTGTTTAATTTCGAGGTACGTCTTACCTTGAGCTCCATCAGAAGGAGGCAATTATTTTCTAATTATTATTTGGCCGAGTTAAAAAAAAAATATTTGGCTAATTTTTGATGTGATGTCCAGAAGGCACTTGGCAAGTATTGTAAATACGATTATGCAAAAAAATGTTACGCTTGGCGGGACACGCACGCAGGATTGGGGAGGGCCATTTACCGTCACCGGCATCGGAGTGGGCTCCACGAGTCTGGCGACCAATAACAAAATACATTTTGATTCATAAGGTACCCTTAAAACAATGGATCTCAGTGCGCTCTGCATATAAATGCATAAAATAAATGACACATAACTGGCAAGAGATAGATGCTAAAGAGACGAGAAGGAGAACTATGCATAGCAAAAATGAGCAAGGAGAAGACCTAAGAGCCGATGGTGGGATACTGCGAGGGCAGATCTGAGAGGGTGGACGTCTCCTGTGCATTAGCTGTGGGATCTGGCGGAGGGCAGAGAGCGTTGATGAGGTGTGGTGGCATCAACAGCTTTGGCCGTGGCGACATCTCGATCTTGAATTTTATTCGTGACATTGTCCCGAGCAAATAATGTCGCGTTGTCTCTGCTCTTACGCGTTTGCTTTACAAAAGAAAAAAAAACACCGTTGAGTAAGTCTTCTTAAACATTACTAAGAGTTCGTCAACGCAGTTGAACATCTGAGAGGACGTCTATCGCAGCGATGAAGTCAGCTTGTATAGGAGGTGCTGTGTTGGTGATGGCTTGGGAAGGCCTTCATCCAGCAGCTGATTGATCATGGCTGATGATGATGGCCAAAACCTCTCAGCCAATATTCCAGCTCGGCTCGTCTGGCAAAGTTGGCGGAAAGGTTTGTCAGGTGGAACTTTGCATATTCGACGGTATCCGCCCACACAGAGTGCAGTCGTACTTGTACAAGGTGATGGCGTTTTCTGTAATGTTCACACGTCCGACTTTTGAGATATCTGTCAAGAGACTTAGGTCCCCAGAGACTCAAATATGCAACATTTTAATGTATTTTATGTCAGTTTAGTACAAAGATGGCAAAGTTCTGTGCTGTGTTCGGCCAAAGCCCCCCCCCCTCCACTGTTAAATTTACAGTTTTATTCGTCATCGCCAGCTAACATGCAGGTTCTTGTACTCTACAGTGTAGCTTACATAATGAAGATTGCTCCAATTTTTTTGTTAACCATTCGAAGTTGTAAGACTCAAACGGTTGAGAAACAAACGCACATCGACCGAGCTAGCTACGCTGAGAACGGATTCAATATAATTATCGCGAGTGTTAACCATGTGAAGACGATATTGAAAAAAAAACCTAAATTATGTTCATGTTTTTTATCGTAATATTTTTTTACTGTTTGTTCAAGTCCAGTGTTTTCAGACGGCCGAGCAAAGCGAATGAATGAAGCAATACAATTTAAGAGCGTCGTACAATCACCCAGGCACGCTTTGCCCTGCGAACATTTGTAACGCTGAGAATGTCCGTCAGCAGGGCTCTCGGTGTATTTCTGTTCTCGCGCAATGTGCCCGGCACTCGTCCGTGCACACACGTAAGTGTGCGGATATTCCACTTAGGAGATTAATAACTTTAAATCGTAAGTCAAGGTGTTAATCTGGTGTACTCTCAGGCCTGCTGCTATCCGTCACCGCCACTGCTGCCTGCGCGCATTACATTTTCCCAATCCACTCATCCACAGGTCACCGGGAAAAGAAACCCAGTTACACAAATTATGGATCAAAGTCTAAGAATGAAATGGCAATGCAGCCAATAAGTCGATCCATCAATCCGCGAGCTGCTGCCATTTCTCGCAATCCTGCCATGTGCTAATCCACCGTGAAGTATGGTCACTCAATCCCTATGATCAACAACACGGCTTGGGTTTTGTTTTCATCCAGCAGGGGATTGACACCTCCGATTAGCACGGTTGGCTACGTATGGTGCAAAATAAGTTCAACATACGTACTACAACCGACTTTAAAACACACGCACATTTTCCAGTTGTGTGAGGGGGCATGGAAGGCACAATCTTAGCGACTGCATTTAACTGAAGTTAATTTGTCTTTTTAGGTGCTGGAGAATCTGGAAAAAGTACCATCGTAAAGCAAATGAAGTAAGTAAAATGATTAGTCTGATGGATTATTGCTATGTGGCTATATAAATTAATTATATTAAACAAAGTTAAACATTAATTCCTTGATATACTCAAATATTACTGTAGAGGGAAACAATATTTTATATAGTTATGTTTTTTTAAGACTTAGAATTATCTGAAGTACACAATGATCTCTTGTTAGTTAATTATCACTGTCATCACAGGGTAATAGACTGTATTGCCAGTATTAATCTTGATTTAAAGCTTTCGTGACTGCAGGAATCCATACTCTTTGGTTCTTTTGGTAAAGTCACGTAGGTATAAAATAAAATAAATCACGACGTTTCGATCGCAACACAAGCGGTTGTCCTCAGGCGGACAAAATATAGAATCCAGCTGTGGAACTGCTGAACTAACGAGAGAACAGCTACAACTGAGGTGCTTGCGTCCGGGGGTGGAGTTCCTTTCCAGCTCAGACCCCGCTTGCTTGCCCATCTCCACATATATAGCCTTGTTGTAGCTGCTCTCTCGTGGGGCCAGCTCTTCCTGGACCTGGCCTCAGCTCTCCTCCTTGTCCTCGGGGTTGTGGCCTAGGTCCCAGGACTGGGCTGAGGTTTCCGGCCTTGACCCTGATCTCAGCTGAGAGGACCCGGCCTTGACCCTGGCCTCAGCCTAGACGACCCGGCGCTGCCCCTGGCGTCAGCCTTGAGAACCCGGCCTTGACCATGGTCTCAGCCTAAAGGAACAACCTTTGACATTGGCCTCCACCTAAATGGCTCTGGGCCCTGGCCTCGATACTCTGTCGTGGCTTTTGGCTTTCGATCTCAGCTGGTGTCCCTGTCGGATCCCCATCCTCCTATCCAAGGTTGGCTGGTGTACAGGCAATGGCTCAGAGAATACTCCACGGCAAGGCCTTTTGAATTCCAAGTTGCGGAGTACAGGTTACCGGAAGCCCAAAATGTCAAACGATAAGTACCATATAGCTTTGCATGACAGGAAACAGTCTATAATGCAGGTTTTTGGGTTAGATCGCGTAAATTATTTATTGGTTGCGAAAACATACGTGTTAAAAGGAAACAGTCTGATAAACCGAGTCCTTAACATGGATGGAAGGTATCAATGCAGTTTATGGGAACAGCAGCCACGATAGTAGCAATATGAACGAGTGACTTGGAGTCAAATCAGTGGGGATGCTGGAACTGCTGGATCATCGATCAAGCTGGCTGTTTTACCTTGAATTCTGTCGAGTACAGAGAGGTAGGAACTGGGAACTCTGCCACAGGAGATGGCAGCAGTAGCCAACTTTGGTAGGTTCTGTGGCTGTGTACAGCAGCGGTAATTATAATAATTGTTCAGAGTTTAAAATACGCTTTGGCTTTGAAAAGGAAACCAGGATTCTTCGATGCCTCCTTAGCCAGACCCCACATATATCACTATTCCGTGGCGGGTCAGATGAGATTACTGTGCCAAGCAAATCCATGGTTTTACTATAGATAATAACATTGTTAAATACTCTTAAGAGTTATGGCCTTACGGGGCCCCCATCTCCTAGGTCCTACAGAGGGGCTTATGGGCCTTCGGGCATTCAGTTCTAACCTATGAAACCTAACCTAAAGCACTTATGCGCCACAGTAAAACGTAAACTTACTCAAAGTAACACAAATGAATCGTAAAATCCGAAGTGCTCGAAGTCTGGAACAGACTCAAATCTATTTTAAGGACCAACCATTATCCGCGTTATGTGCCACCTTTGTTCCGATATTGAAACCTTCCGAGCCAGAATCTCGACGTCTTTGCTGGATCAAACGCCACAGGTGTGCCACAGGTGTGCCACAGGTGTGCCACAGGTGTGCCACAGGTGTGCCACAGGTGTGCCACAGGTGTGCCACAGGTGTGCCACGGGCAGTGCCGGATTATCCTAGTAGCAAAAATAGCTACATATGCTACGGGCCCCGCGCTAAATGCTTTCAAGCTGTCAATTCCGGTTCAGTGATTCTGCACTTGCTCTATTACTATAGTACTATACCGCCTTCAACTTATGAACGACTGGGTGTTTAAGGTTAGCCATTTGTCGTATTATCTGGCTGTATGGCAAATAGAAAAAATACAATTACTTTACCATGCAAGTAAAAAAAAATTGTGTTTTAATATTTAGGTGTGTTTTTTTTTAATTCAGGGCCCCTTTATAACATCATATGCTCCGGGCCCCACACTGGCTTCATCCGGAACTGGCCACGGGTGTTAATAGTGGCGGTGACTCGAGACGCCGGGAGGGGAGATGGGGAGAGGGCCTCCTCGTCCGTGGCTCGTGTTGGCGAGAACTCCAAATGCAGGATGGTTACGTCCCTGGACACGGGCAAGAAACCCAATATTCTTAGTTTTTTCGGTAAAGTCACGTTGAAGAGAAACAACAAAATAACAACGTGACTTTACCGAAAAAACTAAGAATATGAATTACTGCAGTCACGAAAGCTTTAAATCAAAATTTAAACCCAATATTGTTATTTCACACAAAAAAAGGCTAGAAATATGGTCGAATAAGTATATATTACGTGTTCACACTTCTTAATGCTATAACGTGCTAGAAAAACAGTTCCCTAGTGCTATAAACGCATGAGCCAATAGTGTAAAGTGTACAGTACTGCACTGAACACTCTTCGTACCAAAATTGACACGAAGCAATTTTTTTTAAAGAGATGTTTCACGGACATTTTTTGTGAATTATTTTTGTTCCGCTACTAAAGTGGCTTGACCTGTTAAAATAAATCATTCCACTCTCTGCCTTTCTACCCCCACCCCCATTCGAGTCGAAACGTCGCCGTTTTGACGCCTGCCGAGTAGTAAACGGAGCCTTATCTTAGTTCAACATAAAATGTTTTTTTTTAATTCCACATCCTCCCGCACCTCGTACATTGCAACATCCTGACATTCTGCACGGCATTGCCACGGGGCATCGAAGGTGGCAGGTAAAGCGGACCCATCAGAGCAGGCGGGGATGGGGCGACCTGAACTTAAATAGCCGTCAATGCGTGTCGCAAATCCGACTGTCTTACGAAATGTGATGTTTTCATACCTTATCAGTGCCCTAACTTATTACAGAACAATTCAGACCGTATTTTATTATCTTAATTAATTTAAAAGTTATCACTTTTATTGTTTAATTGTGACATTTATTTGAATGTTACTTTAGTCTTTTTATATATTTTTTTGCAATTAATATTTCCACTCCTGTGTCGCTTGACGTTATCACTCCCTCTCTTCCACCCCTCCCCCGTGTCTCGTGACGTCACCCTTTCTCACCAACTCACCGCAATCTCGCGTGGCGTCATTATACCTCTCTGCTCCAACTCACCAGTGTTGTGTGACGTCCTTCACGTCTCGTGACATCATCAACCCCTTCTCCACATCACCATAATTTTGCGTGACGTCATCAAGCCTCTCCTCTACCTCACTCGTGTCTCGAGACGTCATTACACCTTTCCCTCAATTCCCCAGCGTCTCCTGACGTCATCGCGCCTCTCCCTCACCTCCCCAATGTCGCGTGACGTCACCCCCCTTCCTCACCCGCTGCGTTACAGACAGACAAACAATCGTTTAATTATTACATAGAGATGAATGAAAGATGATTGATTATGATGGGACTAACTGTGGTATTGCTAGCATTACATGTGATAATAATTGGTATTGCTTTTTAGTTGAATTGTATTCAAATTCTTGGTTCTTTCAGTAAAGTCACGTAGAAGCGAGAATTTTATTGTTTTATATTTTTTATTATTTTATTGTTTCCCTTCTACGTGACTTTACCGGAAAAAAACAAGAATATGAATCCCTGCAGTCACGGAAGCTTTAAATCAAAATTGTATTCAAGTTCGTCGTGATTAAAATAATGAAGCAATCTGCACATTGAGCAGCTGAATGTCTATTACTCTCAGCTCGTGATTCAAACGAGTATGATGCACGGTGTGTACTGTCGTCTGCAAATGAGTGGATCGCATTGTGAGTGGAAGAACATTGATTCATGTAGAGAATAAGTTAAACTCTCTGATTCATTCTTTTGTTTGAAGACGGACGCTTGTGTTGCGACCGAAAGTGTTTTCTTTTATTATTTTTTCTATCTACGTGACATTAATCGAAAGAACCAGAGAGTATGGCTTCCTGCAGTCACGAAAGCTTCAAATCAAAAGAATAACATCATTTGACCTCCTTTGCCAGTACCAAAATGTAATAATAGGGTTTTCCCCTTTTTTCTGGCAACAAAACTGAAACCGTTTTACAAGGATTCATGTCTGCATTAATCACAATACTTGCAGTCAAAATGCAAACAAAAAACACACACTCTGATCATATATGCATTGTCCTTGAAACTGATTGGTCCACACCAGAGACGGGAAAAAACCCTATTATTATATTTTGGTACTGGCAAAGGAGGTCTAATGATGTAGATGCTCACCCCGAGCCCTCATTACTTTGATAGTGCATTGTCTTTGAGCTGTGTGACGCCTTTTGGCGTCATCTGGTCGAGCACCAATTGGGTCGAGGCTCAAAAGAAAGCCGTCCCTTGGTGTGGACCAATCAGTTTCAAGGACAATGCATACATTATTATAGTATGTGTTTTGTTTGCATTTTGACCACAAGTATTGTATTGTGGTCAAAATGCAAACATGAATCCTTGTAAAAAGGTTTCAGTTTTGTTGCCAGAAAAAGGGGAAAACCCATATTATTATTTCAAAAGAATATGTTACGTCGGAGAGGCAAGAAATTATCGCGCAACGCCGCAGTTAATAGTGAAGGTATCAGACCGGCTGTCTTCAACTACTGCAAATTCAGACCTCTGGGGAACGAAACATCCCAGCTTGCAGATTAGAGGTGGATACCAACATCATGGTGGATTGTCACGTAGTGCACAGTGTAAAATGCAATAAAGTGCTTTGGCAATGTCAAGAGGGGACCTCTATGAAGGGGACTCGCTCGGGGGCTTTGCCAGGAGGGACCCCTAGGAAGGGGACTCGCTCGGGGGCTTTGCCAGGAGGGACCCCTGGGAAGGGGACTCGCTCGGGGGCTTTGTCAGGAGGGACCCCGATGACTTGGTGGGCGCTGTCTCGGCGTACCCTCCCACGCCGCACTTGGCTCAGAGCCAGAGCCGGAACATCGCCGTGGTTAATTCTTCTGTCTTTAAAAAATAAAAATCACGCGCGCACACAAACACACGTGCGCGCAGGATCATCCACAAGAATGGCTACTCAGAAGCGGAGTGCTTGGAATTCAAGGCCATCATCTACAGCAACACCCTGCAGTCGATCCTCGCCATCGTCCGAGCCATGGAAACGTTCAGCATCGACTACGGGGACCCTGCCAGAGCTGTAACGCCTCCAGCCAGCTACCCCGCTACACTCAGCATGCTCCACGCTTCAGCTGCCCACTAAAATTCCCTTGCTCGAGGGAGGGACGTAGACACCAATCGCCTGCATTTTAACGATACAAACCAAAAAGTTACGCGTCGTTATTTTCACCACGTACTAAAAAAAACCCCACTTTTTTCTGCACGTTGGTGTTTCTGCTTATCACGATCAATTTCGGGTTACGGGCAGTGGCGGTTTGGCACTCGGGGGCGAGTGGGGCCAATGAGGCCACTGGACCCCACAAGTGGGGAAGTAAAGGCACCTCGCTCATGATAACGAGTGTCGTTGCCACTCCACATGAAGCCCTCTCTCTCCCCGCTTTCCCCACCGCCACGGGCCTACGTGTCCTGCCCATATATTTACCCGCTTGCCCCCACCTGGTTATAACTATACCACCAATTGTGTCCTCCTCTGAAATCGAGGTGTCTGGATGGGCATATTTAAAAATATGCGGGCTCCCTTTAAAAATGAACCAAACATGGCATCGCACAATGAGTGCATGTGCACATTATTGCTGGTTGCGTGAATAGAGATCCCCCCCCCATTGTTTAGATCGGTATGTTCCCAACTTTCTGGGCCTGTGGACCAGTGTCATCCGTGGAACATTTAACATGGACCACCAGGCAATAAAAATTTAGTGTTTTGCATTGGAAAAAATATATATACATGTGCACCTGAGAGTTCCGCGAACTATTCCCCACGTCCTTGATGTCCCGCCAGTTGTCTGCGGACGACAAATTTGTAACCACCAAGAAGGCCGAATCCGATCCAGAGTTTGCTTGCGTGCATACCTACTGCTGTATAATATTGATCTCGATATCCAAGCGGCCAATGACTAAAACACAGTTATTCATATGCGGAGGCACGGCACGGAAGGTCTCTTTATTTGTGCCATCGCTCGTCAAAAGGGTGATCGTCAAGTGCGTCTCCCCTGCTGCTGTTGCTGCTGTCCAGGCTGACGGGAGGCAGCTCTTCAACCTGGCCGACTCACTGGAGGAGGGATCCATGCCCAATGAACTTTCCGCCATCATCATCCGCCTGTGGAAGGACACCGGGGTGCAGGCCAGCTTCGATCGGGCGTCCGAATACCAGCTCAACGATTCTGCCTCTTAGTGAGAACCTCCTCGCGACACGCAGACAGAGCCCCCGTGAACACGCGCGCCGTGGTGGCGCGGGAGCGGCACTTAGGCGCAAAGGGGGCCCTGGATTCACGAGAAAGGAAAATGTATACAGAAGTGCATCAAATATCAGTTAAGGTACGGAGAGACAACTCCCGTGACTGGCATGGCATGGGGAGGCCTTCATCCAGCAGTGGATTGACAGTCGTCCACTGCTTTGGAGGCAGGGTTGATGGATCATGCCGTTATAAAATACTCTCCAACAACACCGCCAAATCTTCTGGGTAACCAGGTGGCCAGGAAGTGGCAGTGCAGCAAATGGGTTTGTGATCTGTCTGTCTGTCTGTTTTGTTTTCTCCGTGTATGTGTGGGTTTTCTCCGGGCACTCGAGTTCCCTTCCGCATGCAAACAATGATCATGAAAATATAACGGGGACCTTTTATTGCCAGTACTTTGATACTGGAAAAAATATATATGTCCTATGATATAGCTGCTCACCCTGAGCTATAGATGCTCTAATACGTGCATTGTCTTTGTACTGTCCGTCTTTTGGCGTTCTCTGATCTGACACTGGTGAGACTGGGCCATAAAGAAGCTGTCTCTGTGTAGGCCAATCAGTTTCAAAGACAATGCATATATTATTATCGGAGCATGTTTTTGTTTGCATGTTCACAAAAAAGTACGTGTGGTTAATGCAGACTTGATTCCTTGCAAAAAGGTCTCTATTTGGTGTTTGAACATCTTAACACCTGTTTTACTTCCGGAAAGGTTAAAACCTATTCTTATTTTTCGTACTCACGATAATAATTTACCCAACATCCCCCAATGCAAAGAACCTCCAGCAAAACCAGACTCGGCGATGCTTGCCTCGATTGCTGCTGCTGTGTTCTTGTTGTTGTTGTTGCCGTATGTCTGTAACGTCCCGCTGCTGTGGAAATGTCTTCTCTATATTCTCTTCCCAATCCCTCCTTTCCCGAGTTGAACGTATGTACGTTGAACTTCTTTCGCACCGCACGTGGCCAACCACGGCTGCGGTGGAGTGACCTCCGAACTCTCCGATATTCATCTCGCCGCGTCTTCCGCCCTTCTTCCCCCGCTTCTTCTGCCTCCCCGATGAATAAACGACGTTGGTCGATTTTTTTTTTCAAGCACCGCGCGCGCTGGGTTCGAATGTGGGTTGACCCTCTTCTCCCTGTGCGTCAGCTACCTCAATGATCTGGATCGTCTTATGAACCCAAGCTACTTGCCCAACGAGCAAGACGTCCTGCGCTCCCGTGTTAAGACCACTGGTATCATCGAGGACTCCTTCTGCTTCAAGGACCTGCAGTTCAGGTGCAGTCGACTCTCCATGAACAATGGTTTCAGTGTTCTGTTTCATGTAGAGCGTCGTTCACAGCGCATCTCACGATGACGCTCTCGCAAGACAACAGCAATGCTATATACAAAGAAAGCTAATTCAGAATATTGTTACCTAGCGAGACAGACAGCGCACCAAAACCAAAAGGCAGAAGTCGACAATAAGGGTTTCAAATTGGACTTAAATCGGTGTTCCAGATTAAACAAAACACGGATACGGCAACAATACATACGCAAATAACGACTGTAAAAGATGTATGCATGATTTCCGTGTGTGTTTACATCTCTATGCATTTCTCTATACGTGTATATGTACTATATCTATGAAGGTACAATTGGGGTGAAGATGTAGAATGTGGTGTTTGTATTGTTTCTTAAAGTCGATGGTTTACTAATCGATATGTTTGCAGTCATGTGGGCACTAGAGGTGCCACGTGTCCTGGTTTTTCCAGGATCGTTCTCTTCTTGGGGTAGATGTTCAAGGACATCTTTTAAGTCTTCCCCAGGACATAAAACGTTCCACTTTATGTCAGTTACATAATAACATTAACGTACTACTCAAGACGATGTATTCAGCTTAACATGTAGGCTTTCGCGACCAATATTATACATAATAAAGGTTTTTGGGTTAGATCGCGTAAGTATAAATGTGTCGTAACCCTCCACCACCCGACACAGCGAATTAGTAATGGATTTGCCACGTAAACAAAAAGCGAATTAGTTACTACTTGAGCCCACTGGTGTGTTGGAGAGTAATTCTACAACATTTACAATTTGAGTACTCAAATTATAAATGTTGTGGATTTACTCTCCAACTAATTAGCATTTTGTTTACATGACAAATCCCTTACTAATTGGCTGTGTCGGGTGGTGGAGGGTTACGACATATTTATTCTTACAATGTATTCACACATCAAGTGTCTCGTCTTGCAGTATTGTGAAATATTCCTCTTCCCCTAATATCTCCAGTTTTCTTTTTATACCTCGGAGGTGGCAATGCTAGCGTGGTCCGCCAAAGCTATTTGAAAGTCCTGTTCCGCCCCGAGCAAGGTAAAGGATCCACAGACCCGTCATATTTCAGCTGCACTCATCCTGGCATACAGGAGGTCGTGGGTTCGATCCCGACCCCGACCCTGCCGCCTGCTACATATTTGTATTGAAGCTTTCGTGACTGCAGGAATCCATACTCATTGGTTCATTCGGTAAAGTCACGTAGGTATACCTACTTTACCGAAAGAACCAAAGAGTATACATATTTGTCTCTCTCCACGTGGTCGCATTGATTTTTCTCCGGGTCCTCCCTTTTGTGATAGCCCGGTCGCTTCTGAAAAAGATCTACATCGCAGCTTAGCGGGGGCCTTACCTGGTGGGAAAAAGCAAAAACAATTCCCCGTACTCCGGGGTGCTGGTGCTCTGTGCTCGTGGTGCAGGATGTTCGACGTGGGAGGGCAGCGATCGGAGCGGAAGAAGTGGATCCACTGCTTCGAGGGCGTCACCTGCATCATCTTCTGCGGCGCGCTGAGTGCGTACGACATGGTGCTCGTGGAGGACGACGAAGTGGTGAGGTCGATCGAAGCGCTGGCCCGCGACGCGTCGTCGGAGCCACGTGCCGCACTCGCACCTCCGTTTATTTCACACGTCGCAGGAGGCTTTCGCGACCTTTATTATCCACAATCGAGGTTTTTGGGTTCGATCGCGTGAACATAAATGTGTTGTGGGTTTACTCTCCAACGCACCGGTGTGCTGAACTAGTAGCGAATTGGCATGTTTTATTTATGCGACACACCTTACTAATTGGCTGCGTCGGGTGGTGGTGGGTTTAACGGCACAGTTATATTTACGCGATCTAAGCCAACGAGTACCTTACACCATCGTCGTCAATGTTGTCGTCATCATCATCCTTCGTCCAGCAGCGACACGAATCCTCTCCACCCAAGCCATTGCCGCATTATCCGCACAGCCATTCTCATAAGCCTCACTGTAGGCCTATATAGCACGGTTGGCTAACGTACGGTGCGTAAATAAAGTTCAGCAACATACATACAAACGTACATACGTTGCTCTCCATGCGAGGGCAAACTGAGAGTAGCCGTTGGTGGCACGAAGTCTTTTTCTTATTCTTCGTAATGAAAGCGCGGGGCACGCTGGTGGCTGTGGCGACAGCTGTTGTCACAATGAAAGCGGACTGTGACGCATTCACCGATCTCGCTGATATTAGCCAATCAAATGAAGGGGGGCGGGGCGTGTGTCACGTCATTACTCGGTCCACGGATCGATTGGCAATGCATCAACACAGCGATTAACCAGCAACATTTTAAATGTTTGTTTATTACGGATAGACTGAAGCGGAATCAATCACAATCCATCTCGATGAACGCAATACCATATATGGGAAAATCTCTGATCGGTGATTTCGTGGGGGTGTTCGATTGCATCGCTGCTCTATTACACAGCACCCTCTCGTTTTGTTTGCTCGATAGAACCGCATGCACGAGAGCCTGCACCTGTTCAACAGCATCTGCAACCACAGATACTTCAACGACACCTCCATCGTGCTGTTCCTCAACAAGAAAGACCTCTTCGAGGAGAAGGTGAAGAAGGTCCACCTCAACATTTGTTTTCCAGACTACGACGGTGAGTGCCGTGTCACGTGGTCTCTTCTTTTTTCCATCCTCGGCCCATCCTGCCCGATCTTGAGCTTTCTTCTTGCCAGTGCTGCAAAGTACAGCGTTGTATTCCACTTCCATGCTCCCCCCGCATTTACCAGCCTGCACTAAGCGGCGTTGGGAAGTATGGTTAAACAACTGTCACGGCAAGAGGGGACTGCTTGTACAGCGGTTAATTTGTAGTGACTGTGCTTGTCACTGTATGGTGCCGGGGCTTGCGAAGCCACGGCTGGTAATGTGTTATCATTACGGGCAGCCCGCGTTATGGGCTGCAGTACCAGCCCTAGGGGGGCTTGGGTGAGCGCTGGTTAGCGCAGAGGCACCGCGAGCAGTGTGCGGTGCAGGCTCCCGGTGAGGGAGTGAGAGGGAGCGTCAGCCAGCCAGGGTTACGTTGGGGCATGATACGCTGGTTGACCTGCTGTCACGTGACCGGATGATATTGGAGGGGGGCCACCGGTGGACGGGGGCCTGCGGGGCGGTCACGTGGTCCAAAGGAGCTCTCGGGAACCTTCGAGAAAGAGCTCGAGAGACCTGGAAGGTGGGCGGGGCGAAGGGCGGAGCCAGCCCCAGCCCGGGGGCATATAAGGAGGGCCCCGTGAGGAGCTCAAGGTTCTTCGTGTGCTGGTGTTACGAAGATCCACGTCGGGGAGAAGAAGCCTCTAGCCACGCGGTCCGGGACCCGGCTTGTGGTCCGGACCGGGATAGCGAACCGTGTCTAGTTCTGCCGTAGCGTGGTTAGATGGGCATTCGAGACTGGAAGTACCCACACTTTACCCGACCATAAGCCACCTGCCATTTGACGAACTGAACTTGTAATCTAGGGGTAGCCAGTATACTGCTGGGTGGACAGAGGCACAGGGGGTTTAGAAGACTTGCCCAGTAATGCAGGAAGTCCAACGACCTCTGGATTACAAGCCCAGGTGATCTGCCTGTGACCATCACCACCACTCCCGACATCGGGTTGACGGAGCTCGCATTCCGAGCCAGGACTGATGAACGCTGCCCCTGTGACCCCATAGGTCCGAACACCTTCGATGACGCCGGGGCCTACATCAAGAACCAGTTCCTGGACCTGAACCTGCGCAAGGAGGCAAAGGAGATCTACTCGCACTTGACGTGTGCCACCGACACCCAGAACGTCAAGTTCGTGTTCGACGCAGTCACCGACATCATAATCAAGAACAACCTCAAAGACTGCGGCCTCTTCTAAGTCGGCGGGCATCCGTCACTTCGCTCGGAAGACACGGTTCGTTTCAAAACGCTGCGATGACACGAGGCACAAAATGATGCACGCCAGCATCGTGTCGGCTCGTTCATGCTAAACTACAATGAGAAGGCAGTATTGGTTATGGTTGATAGTTTAGAGCAGGGGTGTCCAAACTTTTTTTTCCCGAGGGCCACATACAGAAAAATATACGAAGGACTGGGCCACTCACTTGACGTGAGGTATACTGCCTCACTTCTCATGCACTAATATTGGCAAAATCAATCAAATGCAGGTAAATTACGTTTGATAATTGAACATGTTTGAAGACAAAAAGCCTCCATCATAGCTCTCCATTAGTAGATTTTCATTTTATTTTTTACAAAAAGGTTGCCAGGTCATTCTCTCAGTGACAGCCTCAGATTGGTTCTTAGGGTGCTGATCCCCCTTCATTGTCCTGTATGAAGGGAGAGACAAGAAGAGAAATAGGGGATGTGGATATTTCAAGCTTATTTCACAAATCAATTATTGGTCTTGTTAACACACCAACTAACGTTTGTTAAAAAATTGTCATCAACTTTAATTGACTGAATTTATTAAGTAATTGGGCTTATTAACAAATGAAAACTGTGTGTATATTTTTAACTTACCTGTAATGGGAAGAATGTTGCGCTCAGTGGGAGCAGTGATGCTGCGCTTTGGTGTGAAGGATAGCTGGCAGGTCAGGAGTAAGTTTGGTGGTTGAGATGCGAAGGACGTCACGGAGATGGCTGTCGGTCGTTCTGGTTCTCAGACTGCTTTTGTTCAGCGTTAACAGAGAGAATGTCTGCTCACAGATGCATGTTGAGCCGAACAGCCTCATCATTCGTTTTGCGTGGCGTCTCATCAGAGGAAACTTGGCCTTTTTCAAGCTCCGGTAGAAGTCAGGTAGGGAGAGAAGCTAATGCTGATTCTTCAGAGAATCATCACACTGAATTTCGATCAGTTATAATTGCAGACTCTCCTCCACTTCTTTAGCATCCATTGAAAACGGATCCGCAAACAGTGTGATTTCCTTCTCAATGACAGAAAAATCTTGGAAGCGCTGACTGAATTATATCATGAGAGATGTGATTGCAGATACATTCTCCCATTTTTGCAGAGAACTTGGCATTTGGAAATGCGCATTTGATTTCGGTCTGCGTGGGGAAGTGCGCTACATTGAAGTTGCACAGTTGTGACTCGAAGAGACGGAGCTTCGCACGGAATGCTTCCATGTGCGCATACAGCTGTGGTACCAGCTGCTCTTTGCCTTGTAGTCTCTTGTTCAGGGTGTTGAGATGATCAGTGAGATCAACTAAAAAAGCCAGGTCTGCCAACCATAAAGGGTCACTGATCTCATGGAGAGGTCTGCCCTTTTCTTTCAACAACTTGTCGATATTTGATCTCAGGGAATAAAACCGCTGCAGCACGGAGCCGCGACTGGGCCAGCGCACTTGAGAATGGTAGAGTAGGTCCCTGTATTCAGCATCGACATCAGAGAGGAACGCTTGAAATTCTCTATGGTAAAGCCCTCGTGCCTGAATTATGTTGACAGTTTTCACAACTGTGTTCACCACATCGCCAAGCTGGATTATCTTAGCATAGAGGGCTTCTTGGTGGATGATACAGTGCATTTTGACAGCCTCACCTCCGCTCTCCCGCACCTTGGCACTCACCATAGAGGCCATTCCTTTGCGCTCGCCTGTCATTGCTGGAGCCCCATCCGTTGTAATTCCACACAGCTAGTCCCATTTAAGTCCAGCCTGGTCAATTGCATCTGACACAGCTTCAAACATGTCCTTCCCAGTTGTTGTCCCATTTAGACTCCGAAGATCAAGCAGTTCCTCCGTAATGCAAAATTATCATCAACTCCCCGCAAAAAAATTAACAGCTGTGCAGTGTCCGTGGCATCTGTGCTCTCATCACATGCAATCGAGTAAAAATCGAAAGCACAAGCTTTATCTGACACTTGCTGTTTTAAGTTAGCCGACAAGTCTTCAATTCGCCGCACAACCGTATTTCTGGACATACTGACATCGTTGAAATCCTGCATTTTCTCCGGGCACATTATTCCCACGACTTTAGTGAGGCACTGTTTGATGAAGTCACCGTCTGAGAAAGGTTTCCCGTGTAGGGCAATGAGTTGAGCTACTTCATAACTGGCTATTGTTGCATTATCTTGAGCTTTGTTAGCACGGAAAAAAAATCCTGCTGCTGCGTTAGCAGGCTAGCTGCCATTTGCTTTACCTTCTCTCTCCGCTCGGCGCCAGTGTAGGACGTGAAGGTCTGATGTTTCGTTTAATCATGCCGTCGTACATTGTACTCTTTCATCACGGCAACACTCTCATTACAAATCAAACAAACACACTTCCCCTTGGTTTCTATGAGAAAATATTAAATTTTTCCACCGAGTCTGAAATTTTCTGCACTCGCTTGCAATCTTGCGTCCCTTCGGTTCCGGCATTTCTGGTGACCCTGAGCAATTTTTTTCTTCGATTGCTTGCTTTGTGGAGACGCTGCCGTGTTCAAGACAATAGCGCCACCTAGTTTTTAAACTAAGAAGTGCAATACAGTGGGCCATAGTCCATTATATTTTTAGACTTTGATACGGGCCAATTAAAAATGGATGGCGGGCCGCGGTTGGCCCGCGGGCCGTAGTTTGGACACCCCTGGCTTAGAGAAATTGGGCAATAGCCAGAGGCTTCCCTTCTTTCGTCTATTTTACGTTGATCCCTTAAAAGTGATTGAGGCTCAAGTTAAAATTACAAATTCATCAAGTACACGTTAATTTGTGTAGTGTACAGACCGTATTCTTCCTCGGTAATTTAAACCATTTCAAGTTATTTTTATGCTCACTCATACGGAGAAGCATAAGACACCAGTAGTTTAATGATTGCGTGCATTTCTAGGCAGATTGTTGTGGGCTACTAAAAATAGGAGTGTGGTGATTATAATCACTTAGTGGGATTTGAGCACAGCTGTGCATCGCAGCATTTAGTACAGCGGTAATTATAAACGAACTGCTCAATAGTTCAGGCAATTTGACTGTTAATCAGTTTATTTGCTACGAGCAGTAGCAACCAACCTTTAAGCAACACGATGCAGCCTCACGAGTAATGTCCTAGCCACACATTATGGAAAGGAATGGCGCGTGATAGTGGAGCTCATGGTAGCTGGGTTAGTTTAACACGCAGGCTTTCGAGACCAATATCATCCATAAGAGGTCCTTTGGTTTATATTGCGTAAATATATAAATGTCGTTAAAACAATTAAATAGAAAAAAATACCGTACATTGAGGGGTGTAACTGATAAACTAGCCAGGTGTTTGGAAAAACAAAACATCCGAGTCAGATTTGGCACGGTACATAAAATACAGAAATTAATATCTGGTACAAAAGATGTATTACTGAAGCTATCAACAGAAGGTGTGTACAGGATTAACTGCACTTGTGGTAAATGTTATGTTGGGCAAACAGGACGAATAATCAGCACGAGACTAAAAGAACATCAGATAAATATGAAATACTTCCAAATACGACTGTCAGCAGTAGAAGAACACGCGTGCCAACAAGGACACTCAATTGATTTTGATAATGTTAAAGTTCTGTGCAAAACTAGCTATGACTGGCCAAGACTAAAGCTTTTGTGACTGCAAGGATTCATCTTCTTTGGTTCTTTTGGTAAAGTCACGTTACACCCCGCTGTCCTCCAGACAGTCTCGTCCCTTCACCTGATGAAGGCCGCTTGTGTTGTGGCCGAAACGTCGTGAGAATTTTATTGTGTTATTTTATTTTATCAATTTATTATTTTATTCTCATTCTACGTGACTTTACCGAAAGAACCAAAGAAGATGGCCAAGACTAATTATAGAATCTATCGATATTGAAAATAAATAAATAAAAACAATTTTAACCATTCGGATAGCTACCTACTTAGTGCTGCGTAGAAGCGAATAATCAAATAATACATTATTTAAACGCACGCCCACACAGGCCACCATAGACAATGGACAGCAAGGACAAGATCAAAGGGCTCGCATAATGCACATGCATAATGTACGTTGACTCAGTAATCCCCTCTCCCCCTCCCCACGTGCCACAAGAGCGCAGAAGCGTGGTCACCACACCTACGCCTCTATATAAGGAACGAAACAGGAGGACTTCTCCACAAATCTGGCTGTCGCCTGATGAAGCTAGTTGTAATTACTGGCGAAACGTCGTACTCAGTTTGTAAATGTTGTGGCTTGGCTCTCCAACACACCGGTTAGTGCTGTACTAGTGACGAATTGGCACGTTCTGTTTACGTGACAACCCTTACTAGTTGGCTGTGTCGGGTGGTGGCGGGTTTTAACAACACATTTATATATTTATGCGATCTAACCCAAAATAGCTCCATTATGGCTGGGTTCATCAGCTTAAACATATTCCCGTAAAAATGCTTCAACATCACTGCATAGCATGGGCGCGTATTTGAGTACGGCATGACCCTCTCGTGCGGGAGAGGTTTAGAGAGTTTAAAATCAACAACAACAAAAACAATATGGTTTGTGATAGCTCGCTGAAGATGGATGTAACGTGAAATGTCCATTAGGCGTAGCAGTTATGAAAGTGATGCAGTTATATTGGTGAGTTAACTGTGGTAGACAGTGTGTCCTCACAATAACTGGGCTAATGCAAGGGGTGGTGGTGGTGGTGGTGATGCAGCAGACCCATTCACTTAACATCACTATTTCCACGAACGCCGATTGCCCATTCACAGCTTTGTAATGTCACTTGTATTTGATTTTGCTGTTGTAAAAATGCTGTGTAAAAGTTAAGTCGATCCCTAACAACACGGGAAACCAACACAAATCACGATCCCTCGATTGTGGAGTATGCACGTCACCACAATCCGCCGAAAGTCGCAGCTCTCTGTGATGTAGAGCAAAGCTGAGAACTGACACTCGTAACGTGACCGTTTTCTGCGTAGCGTTGAGACGCAGCGAACAAGTAAAAGCATTGATTTTTTTAAGCCATTTAATTTTTTTTTACTTCGGGAGCACAGATTTCATATCTGCCAAATGTTATTTCGAGGACACACTGTACATAAGATACCGCTTTACAAAAACGTAAACATAATTTACTTATATTTTGATTTAAAGCTTTCGTGACTGCAGTAATTCATATTCTTAGTTTTTTCGGTAAAGTCACGTTGAAGAGAAACAACAAAATAACAAAATATATATAAAACAATAAAAAATTCACCTGATGATGACCGTTTGAGTTATGGTCGAAACGTCGTGAGAATTTTTTTATTGTTTTATATATATTTTGTTATTTTGTTGTTTCTCTTCAACGTGACTTTACCGAAAAAACTAAGAATATAATTTACTTATGTTTAACGGACAGCTGAAAAACCAAATCGTGATTTACCGATGACCCAGGACCGATGGGTATAGAGTTACTTCTTAATACGGTGCACAACGGCACGCAACCATATGTGATGCTGTTGTCGCGTCCGAACTGTGTCGTGGATATTTTAAACGATCCAGTGATAAAATAATAATATAGCACGACGCCTGAGCCTGTGGTGCAACTAGCGGAATACTGTGAACCAACTTCAAATGATGTGTGCTGGTCATATAATGAAGCAAAATACCACAACGCCCCAGACGACTTATAGAGTGGCTATGTGCCCTATTAGTCAGCCGACTC